AGAATTGGGGCAAACTTCCCACACAGAACCACCATACTTAAGGCCATCCAGTCCAACTCCCTTCACCAGGGCAAAAAAACGTGATTTTGTAATTTGGGAGTTGTAGTTCTTGGGATTTACAGTTCACCTACAATCAAACAGCATTCTGAACTCCACCAATGATGGAATGGAACCAATCTTGGGACACAGGACTCCCATGACCAACAGAAAATACTAGAAGGGTTTGGTGGGCATTGATCTTGTGTTTGGGAGTTTTAGTTCACCTACATCTAGAGAGCACTGTGAACTCAAACAATGATAGATCTGGACCAAACTTGGCACGAATCCTCAATTTGCCCAAATGTGAATTCTGGTGGAGTTTGTGGGAAATAGACCCTGACATTTGGGAGTTGTAGTCTCTGGGATTTATACTTCACCTACAATCAAAGAGCATGTTGAACCCCACCAATGACAGAATTGGGGCAAACTTCTCACACAGGACCCCCATGACCAGTCCAACTCCCTTCACCAGGGCAAGAAAACATAATCAAAGCCCTCCTGAGAAAGAGCCATCCAGCCATAGATATAGATAGATAGATAGATAGATAGATAGATAGATAGATAGATAGATAGATAGATATGATTCACACAGAGAGAGATAGTATCATAGATTTGGAAGGGACCCCTAAAGCACGACAATTATATGTCGCATGTTCCTGAGTAGGCAAACCAGACAATCTCCACATCAACACTGACATAGAAACAACAAGGAATACTGTTTAGCCACAAGCATAAAGGAATTACATATATTAGAAACCATTACTTTATTTTCCAGATCACTAGACTGGGCCACAGCAATGCGTGGCAGGGGACAGCTAGTGATAATAATAATAATAATAATAATAATAATAATAATAATAATAATAATAATAACAACTTTATTTATATACCGCTCCATCTCCCCGAGGGGACTCAGAGCGGTTCCCAAGTAACATCACAAAACATAGAGTAAAAATAACATAACAATAAGATTAACAAACAAAATATAAGCATAAAAATTGTCACCATAACACACATATATTAAAAGTAATCCTGCCTGTTCAAGGCAATTAAAAATGTAAAAGGCCGGGCCAAGATAGGTGCAAGCCCAAACATTTTTCGAGGGCCCGAGAATTAAGTGCAATGCTATGGCAGGCAATGATAATATTAGGTACGGATCTGTGGCTGTTCATTCTGGGGCCGATTAGAGGAAAGAATCTGGGTAACTAGTAGGAAGAATAAGGCCGTATTCGACAATGTGTATGGCTGAGTTAGAACTGGTCATTTTCAAAGGCTTGTTGAAACCACCAGGTCTTCAAGCTCTTACGAAAGGAGGGGAGGGATGGGGCCTGTCTTATTTCCCTTGGAAGGGCATTCCAGAGACGGGGGGCCACCACTGAGAAGGCCCTCTCTCTTATATATACTGGACCACACACACACACACACCTTTATGCAAGATGTTGTTGTTGTCATGATGGACATATTACTCAACATATCTCAAAAGGTTTGAGGTGGGATGCTTTATCTTAACAGCAGAAATGTCAGGAGCCCCCGGTGGCACAGTGGGTTAAACCCCTGTGCTGGCAGGACTGAAGACCGACAGGTCGCAGGTTCAAATCCAGAGAGAGTGCGGATGAGCTCCCTCTATCAGCTCCAGCTCCTCATGCGGGGACATGAGAGAAGCCTCCCACAAGGATGATAAAACATCAAAACATCCAGGCGTCCCCTGGACAATGTCCTTGCAGACGGCCAATTCTCTTGCACCAGAAGCGACTTGCAGTTTCTCAAGTCACTCCTGACATGACCAAAAAAAAAAAAAACCCGCAGAAATGTCCACATGTTTATTTCTGCAAGAAAACTACTGTACTATATAAGAGCTAGGGTAATGAGGAAGGTATTATAGAAAAAAAATCCATGGCACATTACAATCAGAGGTATATTAATATGCTGTCTTTCAAGGGGTTTTTCCCATTTAGGAAAAGAATGGGAAGGGATTGTCTGCTGTCTACAAAGTAAAAGAGGGTCCGCAATTTGTTCTACTCACACATTTCTTTCAGTCAATAATAAGGTAATTATTTCACCTAAATCAACTTCCACTGCTATAAATGAAGGTTCCTCCAGCTTGCTGAAGAGTTCTGTGCAATATAAAAGCTTGCCTACACTTACAACATACCAAACTTATTCAAATCAAAAGAATGCAATGCCTATTGGGGATGGATTTCTTGCAAAAGGTTGAAAAAAGTCAAAAGAGTGAAGAATGGAGGGGGGCAGAGTGAAGAAAGGGGGGCAGGGGACAGTTCCATCTTGTCTCCTGCATATATCACTAGTTGGGGACCCCTCCACCCAGCACCAACTGCTGCTCTGGGCCAGAGTAAAGATGGGGTGCGGGGGGCAGGGGACAGTTCCACCTTGTCTCCTGTGCGATGCTAATAATATAATATAAAATATTGTAGGGTTGTTGTAGGTTTTTCCGGGCTATATGGCCATGTTCTAGAGGCATTTTCTCCTGACCTTTCGCCTGCATCTATGGCAAGCATCCTCAGAGGTAGTGAGGTCTGTTGGAAGTAGGAAAATGGGTTTATATATCTGTGGAATGACCAGGGTGGGACAAAGGACTCTTGTCTGCTGGAGCTAGGTGTGAATGTTTCAACTGATCTCCTTGATTAGCATTTAATGGCTTGGAAGTACCTGGGGGGAATCTTTTGTTGAGAGTGATTTGATGTGCCTGATTGTTTACTCTCTGTTGTTTTGCTGTTGTAATTTTTGAGTTTTTTTAATACTGGTAGCCAGATTTTGTTCATTTTCATGGTTTCTTCCTTTCTGTTGAAATTGTCCACATGCTTGTGGATTTCAATGTGGATTACATTAATATATTGTATATACATATAATAGTTATATTAATAATAATACGATATTATAATATATTTTATATTACATGTCATATTAATAATAATATTACAATATAATGATATAGTACAATATAGTAATATATAATACTGATATTGTAATATGCTAATAATATAATATATGGTATGTGTGTATATATATATGTGTGTGTGTGTGTGTGTGTGTGTGTGTGTGTGTGTGTGTGTATATAGGGTCGTTGTAGGTTTTTTTGGGCCATATGGCCATGTTCTAGAGGCATTCTCTCCTGACGTCTCGCCTGCATCTAGGGCAAGCATCCTCAGAGGTAGTGAGGTAGTGTGGATGCTTGCCCTAGATGCAGGCGAAATGTCAGGAGACAAGCCACACCAAACAACTGCCAGGCCATCAAATGCTAATCGAGGTGGTCAGTTGAAACATTCACACCTAGCTCCAACAGACAAGAGTTCTTTGCCCCACCCTGGTCATTCCACAGATATATAAATCCATTTTCCTAGTTCCAACAGACCTCACTACCTCTGAAGATGCTTGCCATAGATGCAGGCGAAACGTCAGGAGAGAATCCCTCTAGAACAGTGGTTCTCAACCTTCCTATTTCCGCGACCCCTTAATACAGTTCCTCATGTTGTTGTGACCCCCAACCATAAAATTATTTTCATTGTTACTTCATAAATGTAATTTTGCTACTGTTATGAATCATAATATAAATATCTGATATGCAGGATGTATTTTCATTCACTGGACAAAATTTGGCATAAATACCCAATATGCCCAAATTTGAATACTAGTGGGGTTGGGGGGAGGGACTAGTTTTATCATTTGAGAGTTGTACTTGCTGGGATTTATAGTTCATCTACAATCAAAGAGCATTCTGATCTCCAGCAGTGATGGAACTGAACCAATCTTGGCACACAGGACTCCCATGACTATCAGAAAACACTAGCAGGGTTTGGTGGGCATGGATCTTGAGTTTGGGAGTTGTAGTTCATCTACATCTGTGGACTCAAACAATGATGGATCAGGACCAAATTTGGCATAAATACTCAATATGCCCAAATGTGAACACTAGTGGAGTTTGGGGGGAAATAGACCTTGGTATTTGGGAGTTGTAGTTGCTGGGATTTATAGTTCACCTACAATCAAAGAGCATTCTGAACCCCACCAACAATAGAATTGGACCTAACTTCCACACGTAATGCAGATGACCAAGAGAAAATAGTGTGTTATCTGATGGTCTTTGGCGACCCCTCAGACACCCTCTCACGACCCCCCCAGGGGTCCTGACCCCCGGTTGAGAAACACTGCTATAGAACATGGCCATATAGCCCGAAAAAACCTACAACAACCTAGTGATTCCGGCCATGAAAGCCTTCGACGATATATATCTTGTTAGCCGCTCTGAGTCCCCTTCGGGGTGAGAAGGGCGGCATATAAATGTTGTAAATAAATAAATAAATAAATAAATAAATAAATAAATAAAATATTAGGTATATTGACTACACAGAATCAGCCCCAGGGAACCTTTACAACTGAGTGGAGGAGTCTCTTGAGAATGCTACATAAGAATTGGGCTCTGAAAAGAGGTAATGTAGTAAATTTTATTGATTAGCCCTTAGGCCATATGACAAAACCAAACCCAACAAAACTTGATGACACTCTATATAGTAAGTTACTGATTAAATATGAACTCAAGTCCCCCTTTCCTCACGCATTAGGAGATTCTGGAGAACTTGTATTCTCTAGACTCGGCTAGATCCATTGTATCCTATTCCAGATCTCTGCAGCCAATAATTTGGGCTGTGGCTTTCTCTAAAGAGCCAACTCGTGCAACACAAATCACAGACCTCACCTGTAGCAAGGTGAGAAGACAGACAGGTTGCAACATCAGAAAAACTAGAAAGACAACTAACCTTAAAGAAGTGGTGAAAATTAAAAAGTGAGGGTAGATCTGACATACATTTCCATGTGGCCGGATACAGAATGGAATGGGAGCCAGGAGAGCTTACCTTTACCCACGTTGCTGGTTTAGCAGGTACCATGCATGATATGTAAAACTCAGCTTGGGAAGGGGCAGGAGAAGAGGGAACAAGAAAGGATATGGCCAGTCGATGAGCTTCTTGGCGTATTTCCTGACAATATTATCTTCCCCAAAGATGAAGAGAGATCTGTTGACTGTGAAGCAGTTCTGTCGGACAGGTATGGGGTTGTACAGTGCCATCGTCCTGGCCCGCTGGGCTTTGGTTTGCTTGTACGCTACCGGGGTTCCTCCTGGGGGTGCAGGGGTTCCCTGGCGGTTCCTGTTCTGTTCGGTGGCTCCATCGCCGGATCCCACCCTGCCAGCCATCGCTTCTCCAAAACGAGCCATTCTAGAAGGAAAAGAGAGAAGTGATCTGATCAAGGCTCCCCTCCTGCTCAAAAAGAAGCAGTCCAACAGCAATGAAGGTGAGCGGGGAGGAGCAGGGTGGTGGTCTTCCCACAAAAGCACCCCCGCTAGCCTCTTTCTTGTTGATGCTTTCAAAGCCACACGTTCATAGACTCCTCCATTCCTCTGGAAACAGCACTTAGTAGCCAGGCATACAATCCTTTCAATACAAAGCACAAGGCATTTTTGAAAGAAAAAGGGGAAGAAAATCCCACCTACAACTGAGCCAACTCAGCAAACAAAAGCCATGCCGAATGCTTCAGAGAATGGCCAGAATTCTCCTAAAAGGAGGTAGGTAGGTGTGCGTGTGGATGTATGTATGAGAGAGAATGTGTGTGTGCAAGCTGGAAGAAGCAAGCTCAGATTCAGCCCCCTTTTTTTCCCATGGAGATCTCTGCACCGAGGCTGGGCTTTTAATCAGAGGCGTTCTCCTGCTCCTCCTTTTCCTCCTCCTCCTGGCTTTGTTTAAGGACTATCACCAAAATAATAATAATAAAACAGGGCTTCTCCCCTTCTCCACTTCCTTCCTTGGACCCCCACCAAGGATCCAATCTAGAGGCACTCGGGGTGGTTGTCAAAATCAGACAGGAAAGGGGCTGTGATCCAAGCCCTTCCATCTGCCCATCAGGAAAGGGAGAAAATTGCAATTGGGTGAGAGCGAGGATGAGAAGAGGTGGAGAAACAGGTTGCAGCCCACTCTGCTCTAGTTAGAGAGCAAAGTGTTTCAACTTCCATGCAGCCGGCTCCATCTTCCTGCTTAAAATGAGAAAAGACTCTCAATTTATTCCTGAAAGGAGTGGGGAAAGAAGCATCCATCTCCCTCTCTTTCTCCCACACATGTACCTTTCACAAGAGAATTAATACCATTATTCTGAAACAGGAGTGAATGCTAACAATGGCTTTGACTAAGCTTGTGTGCCCTTCTATGCATCTCCCCCTTTCTACACACACACACAGCAGAGAAGGGAGGAGGGAGAATGATTTTCTGTTTAACAACCAGAGTAATTTTCCCAAAAGAGGATAAGAAAGAAAGGAAAGCGAAGGATCATCAATAATAATAATAATAATAATAATAATAATAATAACTAGCTGTCCCCTGCCACGCATTGCTGTGGCCCAGTATGTTGATCTGGAAAATAAAGTAATGAGAAAGTGTTGGTTTCTAATATATGTAAAAAATTTTATGCTTGTGGGTAAGGTAAAGGTAAAGGTAGTCCCCTGACATTAAGTCCAGTCATGTCTGACTCTGGGGTGTGGTGCTCATCTCCATTTCTAAGCCGAAGAGCCAGCGTTGTCCGTAGACACCTCCAAGGTCATGTGGCCGGCATGACTGCATGGAGCGCCGTTACCTTCCCGCCAGAGCGGGACCTATTGATCTACTCACATTTGCATGTTTTCGAACTGCTAGGTTGGCAGAAGCTAGGGCTGACAGCGAAAGCTCACGCCGCTCCCCGGAATCGAACCTGCGACCTTTCGATCAACAAGCTCAGCAGCTCAGCGCTTTAACCCACTGCACCACTGGGGGCTCCTTGTGGGTAAACAGAATTTATTGCTGTTTCTTTGTCAGTGTTGACGTGGAGAGTGTCTGGTTTGCCCACCCTGGAACATGCAACATGTCATTGTCCTTCTTTTAGGGTCCCTTTCAAACAGTGGTTCTCAACCTTCCTAATGCTGCGACCCCTTAATACAGTTCCTCATGTCGTGGCAACCCCCGGCCATAACATTATTTTCGTTGTTGCTTCATAACTGTAAGTTTGCTACTGTTATTAATCGTAATGTAAATATCAGATATCCAGGATGTATTTTCATTCACCGGACCAAATTTGGTACAAATACCAGATACGCCCAAATTGGAATACTGGTGGGGTTTGGGGGGTGGGTTGATTTTTTCATTTGGGAGTTGTAGCTGCTGGGAATTATAGTTCACCTACAATCAAAGAATATTATGAACTCCACCAATGATGGAATTGAACCATACTTGGCACACAGAACTTCCATGACCAACAGAAAATACTGAAGGGGTTTGGTGGGCATTGACCTTAAGTTTGGGAGTTGTAGTTCACCTACATCCACAGAGCACTGTGGACTCAAACAGTGACGGATCAGGACCAAACTTGGCACCAATACTCAATATACCCAATTGTGAACACTGGTGGAGTTTGGGGAAAATAGTCTTTGACATTTGGGAGTTCTAGCTGCTGGGATTTATAGTTCATCTACAATCAAAGTGCATTCTGAACCCCACCAATGATAGAACCCCCATGATCAACAGAAAATACTGTATTTTCTGATGGTCTCTGGTGACCCCTCTGACAGCCCCTCGCGACCCCCAAAGGGGTCCTGACCCCCAGGTTGAGAAACACTGCTTTCAAATCTATGATACTATATCTCTCTGTGTGTGAATCATATCTATCTATCTATATCTATGGCTGGATGGCTTTGTCAGGAGGACTTTGATTACATTTTCTTGTCCTGATGAAGGGAGTTGGACTGGATGGCCATAAGTATTTTCTGTTGGTCATGGGGGTTCTGTGTGGGAAGTTTGCCCCAATCCTGTCGTTTGTGGGGTTCAGAATGCTCTTTGATTGTAGGTGAACTGTGAATCCCAAATGTCAAGGTCTATTTCACCCAAATGCCCTCTGTGTTCATATTTGGGCATATTGAGTACTTGTGCCAAGTTTGGTCCAGATCCATCATTGTTTGAGTCCACAGTGCTCTCTGAATGTAGGTGAACTACAACTCCCAAACTCAAGGTCAATGTCCACCAAACACTTCCAGGATGTTCTGTTGGTCATGGGAGTTCTGTGCGCCAAGTCTGGTTCAATTCCATCGTTGATGGAGTTTGGAATGCTCTTTGATTGTATAAATCCCAGAAACTACAACTCCCAAATGACAAAATCATAATGGTCACTCCTTGTGTTGTGAGACGTTTTGTTGCCAAATTTGATGTGATTTCGTTCATTGGTTCTTTTGTTCTTAAGGTACTCATTATGCACAGAGCATTTTTATATCTATAGATATAATAACAATAATAATAATAATAATAATAATAATAATAATAACAACAACAACAACAACAACAACAACAACAGTGTTCGAATCTTTAGCATGGATATCAACATGGAGTTTGGTTTGGACAAATGTTCAACAGTGGCACTGAAGAAGAGAAAAATCATTGAAAGTAAGGGCATAAATATGCCCAGTGGCCAAGCAATAAAGTGTCACCAGGGAGAGGTCAACCCTCCTGTTTAAGGAGCTCCATTGGCTGCCGTTCATTTTCCGGTCCCAATTCAAGGTGCAGGTGCTTACCTACAAAGCCCTAAACGGTTTGGGACCCACCTACCTACGTGACTGCATCTCCGTATATGAACCCACACGATCTCTCTGATCATCTGGAGAGGCCCTGCTCATGATCCCACCTGCGTCGCAAGTGCGATTGGTGGGGACAAGGGACAGGGCCTTCTCCGTGGTGGCCCCTCCGACTCTGGAACTCTCTCCCCTAGGACATCAGACAAGCCCCAATATTGGCAGTCTTTAGGAATAGCTTGAAGATGTGGTTGTTCCAGTGTGCCTTCCCAGAATAGGAAACTCCAAGCATCATGTCCCAAATGCACTTTACTAGAGATTTAAGATTGTCTGCACATCACTCCTATCTCCAAAAACCTATCTATTTCATCTGTCATGTCCAGCATTTTTAAAATTTTTAATCATTACATTTGGCCCGGCCTTAGTTTTAAATGCATCGTGGTGTTATTGTCTAATTGTCTTCCCTTCGGGAAGGCATAATTCCAGCCAGCTTAAAACAAGCTGTTATAAAACCGCTGTTGAAAAAACCATCACTGGACCCCACTCAATTCGTCAACTATCGGCCTGTTTCCAATCTCCCCTTTTTGGGCAAAGTCCTGGAACGTGTGGTGGCCTCACAACTCCAGGCATTCTTGGTAGACACTGATTATCTGGATCCGGCGCAGTCTGGCTTTAGGCCGGGGCATGGTACCGAGACAGCCTTGGTCGCCTTGGTCGATGATCTCCGGCGTGAGCTCGACAGGGGGAGTGTGTCTCTGTTGGTTCTGCTGGATCTCTCAGCGGCCTTCGATACCGTCGACCACGGTATCCTTCTGGGGCGCCTTGTGGGAATGGGCCTGGGGGGCACTGTTCTACAGTGGCTCAGGTCCTTCCTAGAGGACCGCACCCAGAAGGTGTTACTGGGGGACACCTGCTCGCCCTCACAACCATTGACGTGTGGGGTCCCGCAGGGTTCAATACTGTCCCCCATGTTGTTCAACATCTACATGAAGCCGTTGGGAGAGATCATCCGGAGTTTCGGGGTGCGGTGTTATCTGTACGCAGATGACGTCCAACTCTGTCACTCCTTTCCACCTACTACCAAGGAGGCTGTCCAGGTCCTGAACCGGTGCTTGGCCGCTGTGTCGGACTGGATGAGGGTGAACAAATTGAAACTCAATCCAGACAAGACAGAGGTACTCCTGGTCAGTCGGAAGGCCGAACAGGGTATAGGGTTACAGCCTGTGTTGGACGGGGTCGCACTCCCCCTGAAGACACAGGTTCGCAGCTTGGGTGTGACTCTGGATTCTTCGCTAAGCTTGGAACCCCAAGTTTCAGCGGTCTCCAGAGGAGCATTTGCACAGCTTCGGCTCGTGCGCCAGCTGCGCCCGTATCTTGGGAAGTCGGACTTGGCCACGGTAGTCCATGCTCTTGTCACATCCCGCATAGATTACTGCAACGCGCTCTACGTGGGGTTGCCCTTGAAGACTGCCCGGAAGCTTCAGATGGTCCAGCGCTCGGCAGCCAGGTTGTTAACGGGAGCGGCACTCAGGGAGCACACCACTCCACTGTTGAGCCAGCTCCACTGGCTGCCAATTTGCTACCGAGCACAATTCAAGGTGCTGGCTTTAGCCTATAAAGCCCTACACGGTTCCGGCC